ACAATATATTTTTATTTTAATATTCCAGACAAACCCTGGAGCATAGAGTTGTCCAGCCAAGTCCCCCTGTTGTTTGATGCGCTCGCGCCGGAACCAATCTCATTTGTAAGTGATAGCTCATTTCCTCTCGGTCTTGTCACCTACAAACAAATCTGCGTCGAATCGGACCAGTAGGTACGTAGCCAGAGATTATTTGCTACTAGAATAAAAATAAGTATGATAATACTAATGTAAGTAGGTAATAAATAAGGAAATAATAAATAAGTATGTAATGTAACTTGTGACAAAAGATTGTCTACATGACAGGCTTAGCCTAGCGTAGAAATCTCAGTTACTTTATGAACTGAAGCGTATGTCGGTACAACCTTAGCATTAAACGGGTCTTTAAGGAAATGTATGTACAACAATGCAATGTAAGCAATGTAAAAAATGTTAAAGTTGTTAAATAAACTTTTATTATTATTTATTATTATTATTAATAAAATATAATCGTGTCTACTACGTCTCTATTAATTACCTACATGATTATGTATTTTATAATAACCACAAGTATTAATTAAAAAAGAAATCATAATATTTAGTTCAGAATTTGGTAAATGAAATCTAATTTAATGCAATAATTGAAAAAGAATAAAAAATAATTATGTGACTGACTCTACATAAAGTTTTGTTATTTAACGCCATCTTTAGAAAATGCCAGTACTAATCTCGTTCGCCTAAATCATGAACCGTACTCGTACTGAAAGTAGTTATGAACTGCTCATCCAGTAGTCCGGTAGATGGCGCTGGTTGCATAAAACAAGCGAACCATCCAGTGCCAGAAACAAAACAATTTTAATTTCGCTCGACTGTAAAACGGAGGATTGTTGTTTGCTGGAGTACCTTAATTACTTAACAGATTTAAGATTAAGATTACTGTGGCTTTAAATTGTAGAGACAATGAAAATTTTTCATGTTGCAACGTCTTCTTAGCTCATAAAAAATATTTAAATTGTCGATTCATACATTTTAAAATTTAAAGCAATCCCAATGGAACCCTAGAGAGATTCCAACCGTAAACGTTGGGTAGGTTTAAATCAAACGTCTTGATCCGCGTTTCACACGAAAACCCCCGAAATTGTGAATTGCCAGCGTGCCACACCGCGTAAATGCATTTTATCCTGCAAAACGGAGGGACACACAGTAAATACTAACCGCGAACTTATACTTTATTTGTATTAAATACAAATTACAAATTGAATAGACGTCAAAGGTTAAAATTACTTAAAATAATCTTAAGCGTTGCCCATACTTAAGGAGCCTTTTACGTGTCTCGGGTATTTCAAAGTAAATTTTAAAATAACTTCAAAAAATCGAATTGTCTTATACTTATATGGGATATGAACCCATGACCACTCCATGACCTTTCGTTTGCCCGGAAATTTGATTTTTCTAAGTTTTTTTATTTTATTTAGTAGTTGTCCTCCTCCAAGAAATAATGCTGCGATAACCTCTAGGTAAGGTAGTTGGAATGTCAGTTTTAGCATCGCATTGTGAAACAATCGCGGAACTAAATCTGCCTACCTATCACCTTGTCTATTAAGTATAGGCACTAAGTGACAGGTTTTCCGTTTATAAGAGCAGTGTGTCACGTTTGTAATCGCTTTTGGGTTCTAGCGATTTCAGCCGGTTCTAGGTATGATTTTTGCTGTGTCGGCGGAATGCAGGCCCCTTTGATGCCTGGCAGGTAACTCGTATGATTTACTTATCCGCTTTCTGTTTGTAGGTACAATCGCCAGTTGAGTTTGCAGCATTTCTCTTTTAAAATCGCATCTATTACGAGCGCAGAAGATGCAGCTTTTACCTTGTAGTATTTTTATAGTTGCCGATCTATATTTTATGCTTTGGAATTGCATGTACAATAGAAAGACTTTTTTACAACTAATAGAGATGACACAGTCAGACACAGTGATAAACTTGAGTATTGCTGTCTGTATTAAAATAAAATCATTGAAATATCCAAGTATAATGGCAGAATGTTTCATTAAGAACTTATTGCTCTTTAAATAATGTAGGTAGGCGCTTTATATGAATAAAGTTGCAGTGTGTTTCATTAACAACTTATTGATCTTTAGATAATGTAGGCGCTATTAGAAATAATATCTTGATCCAATCAATTTAAATCATCACAAAATTAAATAACAGGTAATTGCAATGATTTAAATTGACTTTAAGTAGGCTGTTATTTTTATAAATTCAGTATCTTAAAAATTAAAATATTAAAAAAACCTTAAAAATGAATTCAAATGACTGATGTCTTAGTTTACATTTAATTTCCTCATAACAAATACATAAACCTGTATGTGAATCATTTCATAAATAGTGTTAAGCCTATTACTTATTCTGTGGTTTAGCGGCATGCGACGCGACTATACTAACAATTTAAAGTTTTTTTAGTTGAGTAAATCAATGAATGCAAACGGGTGACATAACCCTCTGATAGTCATTATAAAATAAATAAAAACCTGTTAACGTGAAGTTGAGTCACTGTGTGTAAGACATGAATGGACTCGTGAGTAATTTTTGCAGAATCAGATGAGGTGCGTTGAATACCTGAACAGTCAAGAACATACAATTAAATGGATATTTACTGCACCGTGCATGATTTTGTATGACTAACAGTTGCGTACAAATGCGTAAGTAGGTATGTACTTACTTAGTGGGTAGTAAGTAGATACAACTTCTTAGCAGGAATTTTATTACGTTTCGCTTTAATACAACTGAATTTCAGTATCCATTAATACTTAACTGTCGTAAATTATTTTATCAAAAGTACCTAGTGATTATTACTTTTTTCAATTAGTTTTAAGTGATTGAAATCGTTTACTAGCACTAAGCAAAGTTAAGGCACAATATTATTTACTAATCACCTTAGTCATTTGGTCAAACTTAATCACTTCCGATTTACCTGTTACGGTAACATTTTCCCATTAACTAGTAATTCTTATCTTAACAATAAAGTGAATAATTATCTATTAAGTCATAGATAAGATTAACCAAAATTTTGACAATGACTTTATTTCCTTATAAATAGGCCTAGATTCATTGTTCATTATGACGATGACGTGTCCTTTTCAGCAGGGATGTTATATATATCCGTAACCGTAACCGAAACTTTCGGATATCCGAAATAAAAGAAAATCCGAAACGGTAACCGTAACCGATTCAAAAGTTTCGGATGTAGGCAGTTTAAATTGTTTTTTGTATAATTATGTAAAGGTATAACAGCCTGATTTACCTTTATAATGCCATTTAATATCAGTTTTAATTTTTTTATTACTTTTTATTCGAAGTAAAGTGTGCGGCCATGAATGAATCGTGTTGGAAAACTATTGCAAATTGCATTCTAAAGCATAAATATCCGTAACCGTAACTGAAACTTTCGGATATCCGAAATAAAAAAGTATCCGTAACCGTAACCGAAACCGGTATAATATTATTCCTATATCCGTAACCGTATCCATAACCGAAACTACATATCCATAACATCCCTACTTTTCAGTATGTTTTTCTAGATAAAAGCTAATTAATTTGGATTTAGTACGTAATGAATGTAATAGTTAACGCAGATTGGTTAAATCGTAAACAAAAGTTTTTGGTGCACTTTAAAAGTATACAAATCTTGACCTTATGTTAGAGCCGTAAGAATCATTTTTACTTGGTCGCTTGTGAGAGATCCAGTTATCAGTGTGAAAGTTTTGAACAGGAAGAACAAAATGATAACAGAATCAAACAGAGCGCAATTAGCAGAAATCAGTTCGGTCATTAGCATTAATAGCTAGCCTTCGACCGCGAGTCTGCTTGAGAGGTACCGAAAAATGTATCTACTCATCATCATCATCATTATCATAATCATCATCATTTCAGCCATTGGACGTCCACTGCTGAACATACGCCTCCCCCAATCATTTCCACAATGGCCGGTTGGTGGCGGCCTGCATCCAGCGCCTACCCGCTACCTTAGACATCCCTTGCAAACATTTATGATGTCACAAAGTGCGCGTGGACGCACAGGGTCACACACGAACCAATTGCAGAGCTCTATTCAACGCTGTGCGTTCGATTTGCTTCACTTAAGCAAGCATCGTTTGTGAATACGGGCGTTAATTTCAATTTTGAAAGACATAAATTGCAATTAAAATAACACTGAACTTTAAATGTGTCATTAATTGATAGGCACAACGCTTAAATACAACGTGCTTTATCGAATAATTTACTACTAAATACTTTAGTGAGTACTGAGTATCATATCGTGGGATTTTTAAATGACGGTGTCAACTTACGAAATAGGCGATAGGTACTGAGGTATTGTGCGACGTATTCTTATCACATAGCAAGAAAGGAAAAATAGACCTAATTATGTACCTACTAAGAATTGATGAATCAACAACCCCAAGAACATCATATTATTTGTACCACAGAAAAATAATATACTTCTGTACCCAGAGCACGAATAATTATTATCGTTGTGGTATGATGATAATAGTTTCTTTTTGGCTTGAAAACAAAACCGCGATGTAATATTGGTTGTATGGTTAAACATTATTCGTGCTCAGGTGTTCATTACGTACAGAAATACGTGATTCTTAAATAAAATAATGTGGAAAACTTCAATCAAACACTCCAAGAAGATGCAATAAATGAATATTATTATGAACATGGAACTTCCATGAATATGAATCTCTAGCACGAGTATAAGTGAATAAAATTGAACAACAAACTATAATCAACTAGCTTTCCGCCCGCGGCTTCGCGCGCGTGGACTACATTTCTTTGCTATAAACCTCACGGAGCCCGAGACCTTTCCAACGAATGCAAAACCGTGGAAATCGGTTCGTGCGTTTTGGAGTTATAGCGTCAGGGAGGAAAACCCGACTTATTTTTATATAGTAGATAAACTGCATAATAACCCAGATATAAGTCTACCCGCAACAAAAAAAATAATTTGATGATCTCACAAATTAATGTTGTCAAGTAACCTGACATGGTCAGCTTTAAATAAGTAATGACACGATTGCAAGTTTGGTGATTCATTCCATAGTCGTGGAATGCTATAATCATACTTAGTGCTTCGCTATGTTATCATGAATGAACATTTAGTTTGTGTTGTGACTCTGAGCAGTGCGAATCGATCCACAAACAGGGTCATTATTATGTAAACATGTTAGTTTCACTACTTCTTTGTGGATTTAACGTGATAGTGAGTGCTAGTGATGTGTTTCATGTGAACAGTAAAATAACTTTTTATCCGGACGATGTGTCGGAGTATTTTGGGTATTCTGTGCTTTTGAGCGATTTGGGGTGAGTTGTTTTAATTATTATTTTCAGATGCAAAGAAATTAGTTAATTACTTACCTTATGATCGGTCAAAACTCTTTTAGAACCCATTTTAACACAAACTATGTACTTTATGTAGGTATCAAACGAAATTCAAAATTAAGATTCATCTAAATCAATCTTAGTTTGAACTTCGAATAAATATTTTGAATTAATTAAATTAATGAAGTTTGAATTTCCTTTATGAAATCCATAATGTTAATAAGTACACAAATTTACATTAATTATAATTATTTAACGTTGATATTCGTATCATACAAAATATATATAAACCATGCTTATCGCGCCGTCCATTTGTGATGGGACATAAACAGGATTTTAACAATAAAAGTTTTTGTCGCACAATCATACAAAATTAATGACAGAGTTACTATTTTGTCATGCAAAAATTCTGTCCATTTCAAAAATATCTATTACCTACAATTTGATCACATGTATTTGATCATCACCCTGGTGATCACTTTGGTGTCTTTTGATCACCTATGGATAAAAAGTTCACTTTGATCGCCTAGGTGATCTTATCCATGGGTGATCAAAGGACACCAAAGTGTCGCCTGGAGTCCATTTTGATCACCTGGGTGATCAAATCTAGGTGATTGAAGTGGACTTATGTCCTGACCAGGTGGAATAGACCTTTAAAAAGGACCTCTAAAACAGAAACATATTGTATATCACCGAAATCGTATTCTAAAAAATAATCGCTAACCCATATTAAAATATTGAAAAATCCTAAAAAAGGAACCCTTACCTCCATCTTTCTGTTATACTATGCAACGTAAGATCGACTTTCGATATTTTAATAATTCGATATTTTGATCGTTCGATATTCTGAACGTTCGATATTTTGAGCATTCGATATTTTGATCGTTCGATATTCTGATCGTTCGAAGAAACGTGTTCTATATTTAGATTTTCGATCATTTGTAATTCGATATGGTGTAGGTAACCCAGTAGACCTATGGTGTAGAAGTAATAAACTATAATACTCATAATATCAAACAATTTTAGCCTCAATGTCGGTGCTCCCAAGGCGCAGAGTAGAGTGTCAAGGAAGTCGCATCCTGGACTAGTATTCACATGTCCGTTGAGAGATCTGGACAGAGATAATGTCACCTGCAGGCCACTAGGTAAGAATGAGCTCAAGAGGATTTTTAACTCATTTCCTTACACCCGTATTCACAAACATTACTATGAGGTCTCACAGTGCGCGTGGACGTCAGGGACAGGGTCCCAAAAACCTATTCATAGACAATACTTGAGTGGCGGAAACACACACGAACCAATCATAGAGCTCCATTCAACGCTGTGTGTTCGACTTCGCATAGCGTTGCTGCTTCTCTTAAGCAAGCATCGTTTGTGAATACGGGTGTTTGACAACGTAGACTTGCTATGAATAATTATAAAATAAAATAAATAACAATTAGTTTACTTGCTTTTAATATTTCACTCCGCAAGTAAAAGGACAAGGATTTGAGTAAATTAACCATGTTTCAGCGAAAAGTCTGAGAATTTCCTTGGCTGATGACTTCTATAAGGATGACATGTGGTATGGGGCAACTATGGCAGCGATTCCTAATGGAAGACTATTGGTGAGTTTTTTTAATTTTTATGGGGATTCTCATGTATCTTGATATTATTAAAGAAAGACGAACACCTGACTGGTTTGCGTACTGAATCTGAATAAATATCATAGCAGACTTATCAACTCGGAAAGGGATCAACACCGTATCGCCTTTTGCTTACTATTTTATTTATTTTACCAATGGTCCGTGACCCTCACTCGGCATGGGGCACACTGAAAACCAGCGCCGTGGCCTTCGTCACCGTGGGCCACGGCATATGCTGAGTGGGGTCCCGTTGCAGTGGGCATCTTGTTGGTGAATGGGTGGCACTGCTCAGTTTACTCTTGTTTTTATTTTTTTCTTCTTTTATTATTATGTGCCACTGTCATGTCTATTGCCTGTATTTGTGTGATGTCCATTGTAATAAATGTATCTTTCTTTCTTTCTTTCGTGCGCTGTCAACCGCGAGGCGAAGCGTTTTCATTGCAGTCCGGATAAATGTGCGTTGCAGTATGAAGTTTCATTCAAAGAATACTAAACGCCTCGTGTTGATACGGTTACGATCCCTTTCCGGGTTTATAGATGTGCTACGTCCTTCACTATGCTAGAGGTTGTGGGTTCGATTCCCGTAGAATGCAAACAATTTTGTATGCACCAACATAACTGTATAATATTAGCTGGGTATTTTCAATGTAACATTTTACATAATAATAAGTAGGGATATCCAATAAAAAATATCCAAGGATGTATTTGTCTAATACCATGTACTCATAATAGTATTTTGCTTAGTTTATAAAATCCCACAGGTGTGTTCGCCGCGAATCACTAAGCCATACCAGTCGAAGCACTTGCTGGCCAACGGAGCTTGCTCTGTGCACGGTCATGACCATGAAGTAAGACTGCTGCCCCTCGAAGATCCAGGTACCTCCACACTTAGCTTATTGAGAACTAAGGGCTTGTTCCGCCTTAATGGCAATAAATAAGCAGACTTTCTTTTTATTTCGAACGGGATAAAAAGTATCCTATGTCCTTCTCCTGGCTCTAAACTACCTCCCTGACAATTTTAAGCTAAATCGGTTCAGCCGTTCTTGAGTTATAAGTGGTGTAACTAACACGACTTTCTTTTATCTATATCTAGCTGACCCGGCGAACTTTGTTCCGCCTTAATGGCAATAAATAAGCAGACTTTTTTTTTTAATTTCGAACGGGATAAAAAGTATCCTATGTCCTTCTCCTGGCTCTAAACTACCTCCCTGACAATTTTCAGCTAAATCGGTTCAGCCGTTCTTGAGTTATAAGTGGAGAAACTAACACGACTTTCTTCTATCTATATACAGTGTGAGTCACGTTAAAGTGCACATATGAAAATAGATGAAACTAGACCTATTTTTATCGACAAAAAAGAGGTCAAAAATTTTTGAGATTTTTTTTTAAATTTTTTATATAATTTTTTTTCTTCCAATTACTTATTGTAAAGAAAACGTGATAACTTTTAAACTATGCGGTATATTCTGATAAAATAAAAACAGTAATAATGCTAAATAACAGGCGATACTAAAAAATACATAAAATACACAAAAAAGGCCAAAAAATAATAAAAAATGATACTTTATGAAAAAAAATTGCTTTTAAATTCATGTTTTTTTGGTTATTTCATAAATTTCTCTAAAAAATGCCCCTATAACCGGTGGTTTTTATTACTTTGTATTATTCTCTATCGTATTACCTTCGTAAAACCAAAAATCGCATGTCTCTATCCCTATCACAACGTTTGCAATGATCGTTTGAACTAAGCCTCTCCGGGCGCACCATTCAACGCTTCGTTAACAACGAAACTGAAAATGGCTCTAGATTTGTAATTTTGATAAAGACAAGTTAGATTTCAAATAAAAACAAAAGATTTCGNGAATCGTATTATTTCGCTTTCGGGTAGTAATATGTCAAAATTGTTGGTTCTTTAGGCGAACAATGTATGGAGAACGAACATTGTCCTTTATCGTTATTATTATTGCCCTGACAAAGAAAGTGTGGTAACTCAGCTTTTATTGCTTTATACGCTTTGTAAAAGCTCATCGTTCGTTGAAATGATTTGTTGAGGGGACACGGAGAGCGGGTATTCTCCTTTTTCAATCGCAAGCGATGTGGAATTGAATAAATCGGAATAAGTAAGTTTTGAGTAGTTTTCGAGAAGCCAATTCGGTTAAATTCGGAATTCTTGTTGAAATATGCACTTTCGGGATAACGTTTGCCAATTTCAATTTAAAAATATATGCGGATGAGTAAGATCAGCTCTTGAGAATATACTGCCAACTAAAATAAGTCTTTGTATAAATCTATATCTCTAAAAGCTAAAGGTCACTGACTGATTGACTGAATGACTCACTCACACATCACGAAATATCAGAAACTACAAGTGCTAGGAGTCTCTTGCATGGGGGTTCCTTTTAGAACGTTGGCGCTGACTAAAACGGAATTTTGCAAAATTCATCCCCTATGGGGGTAAAATGGGGTCCACGCGTACATAGTCGCGGGCGGCCGCTAGTTAGATTTAAATGTTTAACGTAATCATCGTTTCCATTTGATTGTAAAATATGAGCGGTGATAAACTTAATGACCTCACAAATAGAGAAAAATATTTTGTTAAAAAAACAATGTTTTAATTTTAAACTATTTTAAATTAGGTATTTAGATCTGGTAGCACGTGATAAGGACTTTCCATACTAGCAGGTGAAAGCTGCATCGCTTGAAATTTGAATTCAGTGTAACGAATGTAGGTACCTAGGTACCTACATTTACCATCTAAATCAATTTTCCGTCAAGCATTGTCCGATAGCAATGATTAATGATGCATCGTAAATATCATTTAATTTTCATCTGCGCGGTGTATGTTGAAGCGATTGATTAAAAATCACTTGATTAATGACCTTTGGTAGACCGTAGCTTGTCATGGTGTAAAGGTAGGTTCTTACTGTCGGTGTAAGTAAGGTGAGAGTATTTTTTATCACACCAATTTATCTGCATTGCAAAATAACGACTAATCTACTGCCCTGGCCAGCTAATTGAAAAATATACTTAGATAAATAATTACATAAACTTCAACTACTAAATGTTACCTGTGTCTACAAAAGTATAAAGAAAAGATACATGAAGCCTGGAAAACATCTGTAGATCCACCAAATTACTTGATGGGAATAAAACGTACCTTAATTTTTAAAACACATTATTTATAATGTAAGTATATCGTGTGTGTAGTGTAAATATAGTTTTAAAATATGAGTAGATACTAATAGATTAAACAGTACAGCAGTGTGTAAATACCCTAATTGTGTGTGGTAGACAGTCTGTAGGCGGTGTTAATAAATTAACTCAGCTTTGTTAGGTTACCCAATAATGAACTAAGTTTTTACAGGGTCACTTTGGATATTTTTCATTAATAAGCTTTTTATTTTTTACTATTTTAGTTTACTTATTTAAAAACTTTATGCCGTATGGTATTCTATACTAGTAAACCTTTGGCACCAAAGAATAACATAAATCACCAATTACATTCTTCCGGTACCGGAAAACGCAGCGTGGTAGGTACGTCCACCCACAAGGTGGCCCGACGACATCATAAATGTAGCAGGGAAGCGCTGGACGCAGGCCGCTACCAATCGGTCAACATGGAAAGCATTGGGGGAGGCCTATGTTCAGCAGTGGACGTCCTATGGCTGAAATGATGATGATGAACAATCTTACCTTTCCAACAAATCTTATTCCTCTTGAACTGAAGCTTGACGTCCTTATAAGCTCTATCTGGTGATGAGATGTTGAGTTGCATGGTCACCAAGATTTCTGCACTCCTGGTTCCAGTACATGGCAACCGGACCCTGTGCAAATAGAACATTACTTTATACAACGCCTTAAGATAATTTAAAAAGGATAGAGTCATTTAAAAAGTAACACCCAGAGCAGTCGGCGGGGCACATAGCTCGTAGAGCTGATGGCCGTTGGGACAGGAAAGTTCTCGAGTGGCGACCACTAGGTGGACCGACGATCTGGTGAAGGTCGCGGGAGGTGCCTGGATGCGAGCGACGCAGGACCGGTCTTTGTGAAAATCCTTGAGGGAGGCCTTTGTCCAGCAGTGGACGTCTTTCGGCTGAAACGAACGAACGAACGAACCCAGAGCAATACAAATAGGTCAGTTTTTTTTTTTTTGTTTAAGCGCACAATACCCGTTTCTTTTTTTTATTATGCGGGCATCGAACTCAGTACCTCAGTAGAACGCAATAATGGCTAGACTATGGTTTCATTAATTTAGCTACTTGTATACAGTATTTCATTTTTTAAGAATATTCGTAATTTTGCAATACAAATTAACCACTACAATGCAGTTTTACATTAGTAATCAACTTAATGTAAAACTGTGTCTAAGACTGTTATGTGAGTAAGGTATGAATCGAATACTATCGAATATTCGATTAATGTTTCATTGTTATGTATCGACATAACAACATTAGTTAAACTTTATCTATTTGCACAGATTGTTAATTTCTATTGGAAAACATAAGTAACAGATCTAGGATAAGTTTCACCTAAGATATCTTACTGTTATAAACTCGTAGCTTACTCCAACGTGTAAGTTAAGTTTGCTGCATTGCTACGATACTACGAACTTTACGATCAGGTTGCAGAATTGCTACGAGCACTAATAATGCTACGGTACTACGAACTACGAAAGTATGAGCAGCAGAAGAATAAAAGATGATTATGGTACATTTATACCCTCTAAATTGAGGATATTTAGTGTTTAAATACCTATAACTAAACAAAGTAAGAATTATTTATTTACACTGGTACAAATGCGCACAAAACACGATAACATTTTGTCGCAAACATTTAACCCTTAAAATGTTTCAACTAGCTTACAACAAGAGAGAAGGATCGAAGAACCTGGATGCGGGCAGCGCAAGTTCGGTCGTTATGGAAATCCTTGGAGAAAGCCTTTGTCCAGCAGTGGACTTCATTTGGCTGAAACGAATGAACGAAAACGAGAGATAGCAACGCGTAAACCGATAGAGCCGCGCAATCTCTAAAAAAACAGTTTACATTAAAATGGACTTAGTTTTAACCCTCAAACATACAATGTATAGTGACTATATTAAAAACTATTACCTAAAAGTCTGCAGCGTAGTCGGGACCAGTCCCCGCTCGGATATATTGACCTGGGGCGGCAGCATGGCGCCCCTACCGTCGTACTCGATACCGATCACGTACGGCAGCTGAAAGGAATAGACAATAAGACAATGATATCATAGCGTAACGCACAGTTATTTATGGGGACAGTGGTATGTTTGGGCTAGTTGGGAAGCGCGTGGGAATTTGGGACTCTGACGGGCTTTGTAATCAAACGTATCATCCGTGAATCGAAAGTTATTCAATTAAAAACTGTATCAACTCTGTGCCTATTTTTCCTACGTTCTCACACATTTGGTGATATGAGTGATTCTCTTCTATTCTGGACTATTGTGCTCCACCTCTCAACTCATTCATATCATAAGCGAATATTTAGCTTAGCTGGAGCTGCAGACGATAGCACAACAAGCTAAATAAGGACCGCCGTGGCTTCTTATGTAGTCGTAGTAAGTGATTTTTTTCAGTTTGCATTTTTGTTTTGACTGTACCCGTGTAAAGGACAAACTTGACCTTCAATAGTTGGGTTATTATTGGCGATCAAGCTGCAGATTCTTGCTAACAGAGGAGTTGCAGCGGTGGAAATGAGAGGTGGGAATAGACTTTGTAAGGATGTCTTATTAAAATATTTACCGGTCGTCTCCCTAGAGCTTGCCACATGAACTCCAGGTCGGCGATATGCGCTGGAACCGGCACTATGAAGCCGGTGGCGTAGTTGTTCACCACACCGTCCCGTACATAGTACAGCTCCGCGTCTAAGCCTGTAACAAGGAAATAAATTGATAAGTATTTTGTAACTAGTGACTAAGTAATTGTAAAATACGGAGCATAAAGGTGACGAGCTGATGGACCTATTATATTTTAGATACAAGCTATACACCGAAGTATCTTATAACAGGCGTCATTTTGTAACAATTTACATTTGATTTGTATTCTGCTTTTAACATATAACCTACATACAATTTATCTGTATAAAATCAAAAAAAATGTAGTATTTTCAAATCGGGGGAACATACCAGTAAATTACTTCAATCATTCAAAACCTAAAATCAGTCACACTGTCGTTTTACTAAACATTAAACTTGAATCATAAAATGACATTACTATGTAATAGACTTTACAGTAGGTACACTACACAAAACGAAGAAAAAAAATCTAAAAAAATTGCACAAAGATATAATATATTATCATTGTAAAATAACATCACATACCTACATCCTACATTGAAAACGCATTGTGCTCATCAAAATTTCAAAAGCGTCTGCCCAAAAAAATCTTATTATTCTAATTCAGAAGGCATTACGAGCGATTGCACAGTGCACTCCGGATGCGCTCCCCAGATGCGCGGTTCGAGTCCCAGGGGGGGCGCAAATTATCCAACTAACTCTATTTGCTTAGCCGAAAAGAAGAGTTCGGTTATACTACGATGAAACTATCTTGATCATTATTTTATCCTGCTAATTCCTACTAAGTAATATTATAAATGCGAAAGTTTGTATGGATGTCTGGATGTTAACATGTTTGTTACTCTTTCACGCAAAAACTACTGAACGGATTTTGTTGAAACTTTACAATATTATTGTTTATAACCCAGAATAACACAAAGGCAATAATTTATGACGATCTGTGACTAACTAATTTTCAAGCAGGTGAAACCGCGAGCAAAAGCCAGTTTGTCTATAAGCGTAGATCAAATGTCAATTTCAATAATAATCCTTGAATTTATCATAAGGACGTTTTGTTTTCTTAATTTTAAAATTATAAGAGTAATTTGCATAATTTACTGATTAATGATCATTATTGCAGTCCAGAAGCTTGAAGACATCTTCCAGGGCGGTGGTAAACAGTTTTGGAGATATGACGTCTCCCTGTCTTACCCCTCGCTGCAACTGGATAGGTTTCGAGTCCCGATCCTGGAGGCGGACCGACATTGTGGCGTTTTTGTACAAACCCCTCAACACTTCGATATATCGATAGTCAATTTGGCACCTTTGGAGAGACTGTAGCACTGCCCAGGTCTCGACCGAATCGAAGGCTTTTTCATAATCCACGAACGCCAGGCAAAGTGGTTGATTATACTCCTCGGTCTTCTGTATAATCTGCCTTAGCGTATGTATGTGGTCTATGGTACTAAAGCCTTTTCGGAAACCGGCTTGTTCGGGAGGCTGGAAGTCGTCGAGCCTGCGAGCGAGACGATTCGTAATGACTCTGTTTCGCTCAATGGCCTCGGACTCAACGGATTTGGCATAAATATCAACGGCGAGTACATCACCCACCTTCGATTCGCGGACGATATCGTAGTCATGGCTGAGACCTTGGAGGATCTAGGCACAATGCTCGATGGCCTCAGTAGAGCCTCTCAACAAGTGGGCCTCAGAATGAACATGGACAAGACAAAAATCATGTCTAATGTCCGTGTTGCACCCACTCCTCTGAAGGTTGGAGACTCTACACTCGAAGTTGTCGACAATTATGTATACCTGGGACAAACAGTCCAGTTAGGTAGGTCCAACTTCGAGAAAGAGGTCAATCGTCGAATCCAACTCGGATGGGCAGCGTTCGGGAAGCTTCGCCATATACTCATGTCCGAAATACCGCAGTGTCTCAAGACGAAAGTCTTCGAGCAGTGTGTGTTGCCAGTGTTGACATATGGATCCGAAACGTGGTCGCTTACTATGGGCCTCATAAGAAGGCTCAAGGTCACCCAAAGGGCGTTACTATGGGCCTCATAAGAAGGCTCAAGGTCACCCAAAGGGCGATGGAGCGGGCTATGCTCGGAGTTTCCCTGCGTGATCGAATCAGAAATGAGGAGATCCGCAGGAGAACCAAAGTAACCGACATAGCTCGCAGAATTGCTAAAATCAAGTGGCAGTGGGCGGGGCACATAGCTCGTAGAGACGATGGCCGTTGGGGCAGGAAAGTTCTCGAGTGGCGACCACGGGCTGAAAGACGTAGCGTGGGCAGGCCTCCTACTAGGTGGACCGACGATCTGGTAAAGGTCGCGGGAAGAGCCTGGATGCGGGCAGCGCAGGACCGTTCATTGTGGAAAACCTTGGGGGAGGCCTTTGTCCAGCAGTGGACGTCATTTGGCTGAAAAGAAGAAGAAGAAGATCATTATTGAGCATTAATACTTCTTTTTTTTTCACACACAAAACTTAGCGATTAACATTCAACTTTTATATTATGCAAAAATCCTATCACCAATTTATTCCATTTTAAACTATCAAAAAGACAAAATACGTGTTTAAAGTTGAAAAGGAAAAACTCGAGCCAGCATGAACCCGTTTGACTAACTGAAACGCGCCGCAAAAGCTTTTTCCAGCGTCAATAAAATCCAATCAAAAGGCCGACACGTTTTCCGTTCCTTTATTTTTCTCACACAAAAAGCTTCATCAGTGGTTCAAGTATCAAGATCGTTCAATCAGCGTATATTTGGAAGCTAAGCGACAGGGAGGACTGAATATGAAGTGGCACTTTGCACAATTGATGAATCACTACCCTTGGCAGTAGGTGTTGTGGACTCATAGGTACTGGCAGCTGTTTATTATCACCCCTACTGTCCTTTAAATAAGGTCTAAGTCATACTTAGGTCGACTGTACATTTCTAATGTTTTACCCTGCGACAGACAGACACCCTAATCCGCCTGAAGCTACGTTGAAATAGAAAAACCATTTTCATTCATCAATGTGTGTATTATTAGGAAAAAATGTGTGTCCAAACTAGGTAATGAAAAAATTATTCAACCACCCGTTTCTATAAATATTCAAGCCTTTTTATTAAATACAGTCCTTTTAATGTCAGTTATTGGCATATTGTTTTCATTCGAAATATTTCAAAGCTAGATAAATTTAAAATTGTCCAATAAATATCGGTACTTCTTTACTATTGACAGGGGAATACCCCATAATAATAGTGCTTTCCACACTGCAGACGGTAATTTGTCACGTATCCTTTGAGAAATAGAGACACCTCGATTATGATAACTAAAACCAATGACAGAATATAACCCCGCGGCGCTTTGGTGTTAATGACACAAAGGAAGTTGGAGCTATAGTTATCTCAAGGCGTTAAGTTCATGTCATAATACTGACATGTTATTAAAAATTATACGTAATTTGGAGATCAGTTCCGTAGACTAAACACAAAAACTAATTATTACCTATTATTGAATCCGACACTTATTATTCTACAGTTTAATAAGTAATCTTACACTCATATTTTACTTATTATGTAAGTAATCTGTAAAGTAAGAGATTGTTTCTTTTCAATCCAATTCCAACAATCATTAATCTCTAAGACTTTACTCCGTCAAGCACTGCATAAAATGCAAATTAAACATTCTTGCGTCAGCCTAAATATCGTTTAGCCTGTATACTAATGAATAACTAAGGAAAATGCAGTATAAAAAGAAAATAGTTTTCAACTGAACGAACACTAAGGCTGAGTTGCACCACCTAACTTTGACGGTAACTATGACAATAACCGGTGCTTTTTGTATTGAGTTTGACAGATTTTCGACGTTTCTTACAGTCAAAGAAAGATGGTGCAACTCAGCCTAAGACTTTATCACTGGAAAATATGTTCAAAAATTACTCGCAAATCGATACAAGAAAATCATAACCAGCCCCTCGAGACAAGTGGCAAAAAGTGACAGTTGTAATGTCGAAAGTGCCACTTGTCTAGACCTACAGACCACAAGTCTACAATTACTAAGCAATTCCGACAGCAGAAATAAAATTGCATTTTTTTCCCACAAAACATTTATGGCAACAAAAAGACAAAACATAATTTCACGCCTCGCGCTTCCTTTGAGACAGTCTCGTTTATAATTATTAAAACACTAATGATAGAACGCGGCCCTGCGGCCGTCCTTTGTATTAATGACTCAAAGACCCTAATGCGCCTCTGTAATGAGGAGGTATTCTCCTTGCCTCAAACACGCCGAATGAGGTGTTGGGAATATCATACTTAATTTGATACATAATAATAATATTAATATAGCTACTGAAGTATGTCGGTAAATGTATCCTTGTAGGAAAATAAAAGACCCATGAAAATAAATTAAAATGTTTTATCTAGGCAATTTCCGTTGACAATTGTAAATGATCATGTAGTCATAAATGAGACCTATTAAGTCATTTTAAGGACTAAAAACCACTCTATTAAATTAAAAATACAATTTCTTTGTTCTACGACCATTATAATCATTTCAGCCATAGGACGTCCACTGCTGAACATAGGCCTCCCCCAATGATTTTCCCACTATGTTTTACGATACTCATTGATAATTAAAACTATGTAAAAAAAGTATTAGCTAAGTAATCTAAATTATTTTATCCTGGTAGAAGTGGGTTTTATATAGCAATAGTTCACTAAAAAACTTTTAATTATTCTAATCCAGCTCTTATCAATATCAATTAGACCACCCATTCACCACTCCAATTCTGTTTTAACTCCACTTCCCCGCATAATCAAGACCATAAACACGTTTTTATTACGCTTTAAGCATCGAATCGAATTTCGCGACATTAGCGTTAGCTTGAATGTCCAGCATTATCACGTTGGCGACCGAAAAAGCAAAATTAAGATCCCTTAGGAGCCATTTCGTTCGGCAGTTTCAAGGAAATGGTTCATTAAGCGGACTGTACTCGGTGTTCAGTTGGTCGGAGTTTACAGCGCGTGTTACCTGATATCTGATGGTACTAAATGGTGGCTGAGGGAATGGACTGATTGAAATTAGCGAGAAACAAGCCGTGTGCT